ACCTCCCGCAGCTACACGTCTGCGTGTTTACATTTATGTTTCCTCCTCCTCCTCTGTCTTTAGGGCAACTTTAAGGGGCGTTCCCTTTGATACCATTTTCAAATCCCACGGCTGGGAATTATCTTTTGCAAACTCCACGTCTCGGGTCCACCACGGGTTCGACGTGCGCAGCAGCGCTGGGGAGCGGCCACATCAGAGCTTCTGCAGGATGGCTCCGGACCCCACTTGCGGTTCTTTGCATTCAACAAATATCGAGACGGAGTGAAAATAGAGCCCTTCTGTGAATGACCACCCAGGAAGCCTACTTTCGGAAGCTGAAATTCTTTTTTTTTCCTTTTCCCTTTCTCTCTTCCTCCCTCCCCTCCTTCTTTTCCTTCCTTCTTTCTTTTCTGGCCCCTTCTGGCTTCTTTAGCTCTCATTCACTGTTGCATATAATTTGGAAAAATAAAAAAGCAGTAAGAATAACTTCTTCTCTAGGAACAGTCTTATGGCCAGTGAACTTCCTAACAGGTTCCTCTGTGCACTGAACACCAAGTTGTAAACATGTTGACTGATTTAATTTAGCCAATTTAAAAAGGCTGGAGACAGGGAGGGAGATGGACAAGACGTCTCCAAAACCCCTTCTGGCTCCGGCCTGCCAGGTGCCCCGCGTCCTGAGTGCCCCCGACTGCCTGAAGTGGCCCCAAACCGACCCCAGCTTCACTGTGTTTCAGCAGTGAGAGTTCCTCCTACACCAACACAGCACTTTCCAAAAGTTAAGGCCACGCTGGCCCCACGAGCTGGCCCCCAGCACCGTCTCTGAGGCCTGCAGCCAATGATGAAGGTCACTGCGCTGCGTGACGGTGACCTGGGGGTGCGAGACTGACCCCGGAGGATCTGCCCAGATGTGATGGAGAAAGACGCCGGCACAAAACGTCAATAAACGCAGGGGACCAATGTGCCTCCAAGTCTGTCCGCGTGGTTTCTATCTATTTTCCAATTAGCTACGGGTTTTCAAATGGACGTTGTCCATGTACGCTCACTGTTCAGAAGGCAGTACCCCTGTCCCCGGGCCAGCTGGCCCACTGCCATCCCTTCCTTGGTCCAGCAATATAACTACGCCGTCAGAAACTGAGGGTAAGACCGGCTCCCTGGACAAGAGTAGTGGTCACACAGGCCTCCTCGAAATCCTGTTGGACCATCTACGGCTTGGGGGCTCCCCTGCTTGGCACTGATGGAAAGCTGGCATCATTTTTTGGTTTCTGGCTTCCAGAGACATCATTCACACAGAGTCAAATGAGACAGGGCCTCACGGGTTGCTCCGGGTGACCTGGGGCCACGCAGAGTCCATCGTCCAGACAGAAGCAGACGCACATCCGCAGGGACCTGCGCTTCTCCAGGGGCGACGGAGCCCCGCCCAGGGAAGACCCTCAGGCCTTCCCCACAGGCGGGGCTTTTGTTCAACAGGGCAAACCAAAGCAGAGGGGCCCCGGTTTCTAACGCCAACCTCCTCCTTTCAGGGAGTAGGTCCACGTGCTCTTTGGTGCCCTCAGAAGAGGATTTACAGGGGAGAACTGGACACAGCTCGGCCGTGAGTGAGTGGGACCCCCGACAGCCCAGCTGATGATATACCGGACGGAGAGAAAACAAACACGGTTAAGAAAATAAATCGCACCATGCACAGCTGTTCAGCAGAAGTAGAAAAAAAAACTGGCTGGGCAGGAAAGCAGCTTTTAGGGAAGCTGTAATAATATTCCTTGTTTTATAGCTTCATCTGCCGTTAGCTGTCCTGTCAGCACATCACTGACCAAGACCCAGGACCCCCTTTGAAAAGGAAGAGTCTAAGAACCACAGTCAAGGCTGCGCCGAGCCTCGGGCTCTCAGGTCGGCCAGCGCACGGCTCGCTAAACAAACCACCGCCGCAGGCGTGTCTGTGCCTGGAGGGCTGCCCCGACCCGATCTGCCCCTCGGGGTCTCCCGCTGGTCCCCCGACGTGGGCCAGCGGACTCGCCCATCTCTGTACCTCCTCAGTGACCCATCACTTCGGTCCAGCATGCAGCTCTGACAGCAGAGGACGTCTGCCCTGCGGGGGCACTGCCCGCTGCGGGCCCTGCACAGGTGGGATGGTTCAGTCGACACCTGGGCATGTCTTCCTCATCTTGTCGTTTAAAGCCAGTTTCAAAGTGGCACTTTCTTTTTGGTCAGATGTTCCTGCCCCTTTCCTAAGTCCCTTTTCCCCCCGGCACATCTCATGCTTCTCAGCTCCTGGAGAAGCCGTGTGGTGCTCGGAGGCACGCGAAGAGTTCGCTGTGTACGCTGGCTGCGCGTTGAGAGTGGCCTCGCCGACTACATCACACCCGACTACATCACACCCGCCGTGACTTCTGCATGGTCCATCTGGAACAGCCAGTGAGCTAAGAACTGCTTTCACATTTTAAAAAGGTTGAAAGCATCCGGAGAATATTTCATGACATGAAAATTACAATCAATTCAAATTCCAGTGTCCAGGAAGAAAGCTTTGTTGGAACACAGCCACCCTCCATCGTTTGGGGATCGCCTACGGCTGCGTTTATGCTACGACGGCAGAGTTTAGCAGTTGTGATGGCCCATATGGCCCACAAACCTGAAATATTTACTGTCTTACCCTTTGCAGAGAATGTTTGCTGACCCCCGGTCTAACTAGAGCCCCCCCCCCAACTCTGCAGTAATAGTTTCCAAAGAGCTGCTCACTGCACGTTCCGACCTTGCAGACGGACCAGGAGCACCCACGCCACCTGCCTGTGGGGCTGGCACCCGGGAGCAGCGCTGCCCTCCTCCTCTGTGCTCTCACCAGCTCCTACCACACCCCAGTAGTTTGCAGGTCTCCTCCCTCACTCCGTTTGCTTCTTTATGTCTGACACACCGTTTTGCTCCCCAGCACCCAGCAGACAAGGTACTTGAGCTCCATGCTCCTCCTGTGACTTCTTCTCAAACTACCACATTTGTCTGGAAGGCAGATGGATGATTTTTAAAATCACACATGCAATATTAATACCGTACACTGTGTGTTTTCAACGGGAAGACACTTGGGAGAAAAATATGCGCACCCCAGGTTTCTATTTCAGAATCAACCAGAGAACAACACAGTGATCATATTTGATGGTGAAAGAGCTGATTTCCATTTAATGAAAAAGTGCTGGAAAAGAAAGGAAAGTAAACTTCCTAAATAATGTGCACTGTTTCATTTCGTTTTAACCCTAAAGGCATTATAGGGAAAGAACCATCTTATTTCACAAGTGGGAAACTGAGGCTTGGAGAAGTTTTAGATCTGCTCAGGATCTCAGTGGATCAGCGTTCTAACACAGGTCCTGTCTTCAAACCTATATGCCTCCCTCCACAGTTAGTGGTCCGAATGGGTATATTTTCCTTAACTTGTTCCTTCAGTGGAAACCACACATCAGAATCGCAGTGGAGTCTTCCCAAACACCAGTTTTGGCTTTCCTGAGCCATCGACCCCACTGACAGTCCGGGCAAGTCTACAAACCCCTTCTCAGAAAATGACATGGGCTGTTTTATTCAGAGATTAACTAACAGGATCTTGGGATGGATCAAATAACAATGAAGTGCTGAGTGCAAGTAACAGCTTGAGACACGGTCACAAAGAAAAGCCACAGATATTGACCACCATTGCCTGTGACCAATTCATAGCTAAAAGAAAGGCTAGATTTCTGTTAGACTTTGGTGAAAAATAAAGTCGCTTTTTCCTGTCAAAGTTCAGGGACCCCACAAATTCTGTCCGTGGACTTTGGGTTAAAAACCTGGGCTTTGGAGGTAACCTGGGAGTCAGCCCATGCAATGGAGGGGCATTTTTAAAGGTTTAGTAAGATCTCTTGAAACAGAATTCACTATACACATCTCACATCCACCCAAGAATTAAAATCATAAAATCCCCTGAAATCTGACCTTGCATGATCAGACCGACACTGGCTTTACGGGCAGATGACATCTATCAGGTCAGTGCTGGACAGGCCACCGCTGTCTGGGGAAAGCTCTCTGCACCAAGGAAGGCACAGACCACGGCGGACACTCCAAGTCCCGGACCCACACTGACTGGTGACTCAGCATACTGTCATCTCTGAAGTGTTACGTTTCAGCTACTGAAGGAAGGAACCTGGCGGACTTACCGGGCGACAGACTTGAAATAGAACACTCTTGGGAGTTAATGCAACCCTTGAATCTTACAGATGAGGACTTTAGAGTTTAATTTAAAAGCCTGAGTCCAACAATGAATAGGACTGTTTTAACTGATCCTGGATAATAGGTTGCAAAATGATGAGATCTGAGCAAATCCTGACCTAATAAAGGAGAAGTTTGCATACGTCTCTCTCAGCCTCCTCTTACTTAAATTCTGGTTTCTACTGTAACTTAACAGGCCATTAATCAGCCCAGTATACTTTAAGTTTACTTTGAATATCAAAGTGGATATTTTGCTTCAAAGATTAAATGCCAGGGCTCAAAAACTGATTTTCTTAACACAGTTTAATAAAGCGAGATGTTCCTATCCGACTGGTTTTAAGATGACAATTTTGCACACTTAGCTAATGGTTCAAAAAGCAACTAACACCAACAAAACTATCTTCCCTGTAAAAGGCAAAGAGTTTACAAGAGCAAGACTTCTTCCTCTGTGTTTGTAACAACAGAAATAAACCAAAGTCCTGACATATTTGTAGCATTTTTATTCCTAAAGGAAAAAACAGGAACTTTCTTTGTACTTTAAAGTTGTTGCCCTAGATCGTTTACCAGCTTAGCACTGTGAAATCAGTTTCAGACACAAGAGACCGACCAGCTCTCTCTAGGAAATACTCAATTAGGGTGGTGTCTCCGAAATACCCAGGGGTCCTGTGACTGATCGGCTTTTCCCACAGGGTTTCTGCAGCTTATAGCCCTGGTTGGACAGCACACATCACGCTGGGATTTTTCCTGTTGCCTGGCTAGTGACCCCCTACAGGAAGATAACGGACAAGCCGGGAGGGCGGAGCAGCCGGCTACACATGTCTGACTGCTCTTATCAACTTATCATATAAGGAAAGGAAAGTGATTGATTCGGATCCTGACACCGCAGGATCTGGGGGAAGAGCACGAAGCAGCCCAGCTGATCAGCAAGGCGAATGCAGCCCTCACCCGTGAGCAGGGCCGTCCCTCCCGCTGCAGCCTGACAGTTGACTGCGGGAACGGAGAGGAGACGGCGTCGGAAGCCGAGGCTGCCGCCAGACAAGGAGCGAAGGAGGCTTTCATTGATGGACCTTGAGCCGCGGCAGGGGAGCCCCGCGCGCAAGAGCGCAGCTTAGCGCCCAGTCTCATGCGCCCTGCAGTCTGCTAGGCTGGTGGCTTAGACCGAGCGAGCGGGAGAATGTGGCAGCTGCTCGTCTTTACTCTGAGCTGTGACCTCGCCGCAGCCGCAGCCTATAACAGCTTTCGGAAGAGCCCGGACGGCATCGGGAAGAGGCAGTATCAGGTTCAGCACGGCTCCTGCAGCTACACGTTCCTGCTGCCGGAGACGGACAACTGCCGCTCTGCCTCCAGCCCCTACGTGTCCAACGCGGTGCAGAGGGACGCGCCGCTGGACTACGACGACTCGGTGCAGCGGCTGCAGGTGCTGGAGAGCATCATGGAGAACAACACCCAGTGGCTGATGAAGGTAGGGACGCGGCCACCCCCGCTCCGCGCAGTTAGCCCGCAGAACGGCGGGGGAGGGGCGGCGGGGGGAGCGGGAGCCAGACGGCGCCGGCGCCTTTGAATGACTCCCTTCGCTGCGCGCCGCCGCGGAAAGCAGCCGTGGGCACCAAGGGCGAGGACGCCAGGGTCACCAGAGAAAAGCCTCTGAGGTTAGGAGTCGTGCGAGCAGAGGAAGGGCACTTCTCTGCACGCCGCCGTGTGGGCTGTTTTGTTTGTGTAAGTAGCTTAAACTCAGCGACACCCATCGCCAGGGATGTTGTCAGCCGGTCGCAGGCGCGGGAGGGAAGCGGTAAGCGACTGCCGCCGGAGCCAGGAAAAACGTGACAATCACGGTGATTACTGATACACAGCGGATGGAGTCAAGTGCTTTACCAATTTCCTGAATTTATTTACTAAAATAGAGTGGGACTCTCGGTAAATGAGAGGAAATTAAAGAAAGCAAGCCTTACATTTCTCAGAACCCACCCCCGGGGGTGGCTTTTCCAGGGGGTCTGCCGTTGTGAGCAGGCGTGGGTTTTAGGAGGGGAGGCAGCGCCGCAGCCGGTGCTCCCCCGCACCCCGTCAGTGCGGGGACGGGCTGGAAGGTAGCCCCGCGGGGCGCGTGTGCAGGGCATTTTGGTGCAGTTTTGCTGTGATCTACGTGATCCCACTGTTTGAGAGTGTTTACAGAGTTTAACCCAAATAGGATACTAAGAGCTCAGTTTTTCTTTCGCAAGCGATCATTTTCACATGTGAAGCTATTTACACAAAACCTAAAATCACCCTGGGATTTTTCCTTGATGTGGACTATATATCTTCGAAAAGAGGTCTAAACACATTGCACACATTGCAGATAAAGCATTAACTGCTACAGTGACATCATGTCAGGACGCTTACCCAGGAGAGACTGTGATTGTTTAACACCACATGGGAACTTTAACAAGCAGGTTCCCCCCATTCAAAACTTTGCCCTAGTCTTTCATTTCGCCGTAAACCTTCTGTTAGGACGCTTTATCTTAATCTCAGAATAGATCTCGGCTCCTAATCTGTGTTTCTCATTAGCTCTCCTACCTTCGGAGAGGAAACGGCCAAGTTATTACTTTGGTCCTGAGCCGAGATGAATGAAAGCCCTCGGCACTGCTTTCATTGTAACAAGAGGGGTCGCTTCAAATCAAAGAACAGAAAACAACAAAAACGTATCAAAAAGACGCGCCCTGTAATACAAAACTCATTAGTCGTGTCTTTATAAGCACTACCCCTTCTGGGTAAATTCTCCAATAATTTTCTCTGAAGGACCCTGATGTGCAAGTAATAATATTCAACTTAAATAATACAAGGAATCCAGGAAGACAAGCTATAACCCAAATATCTGCTCACCCTGACTTCCCGCTTCTTCCTAAGTCATCATGCTCAGGTTAGCGCCAGGGCTAACAGCCACGGTGAGAGATGAAAGATATGTCACATGTAGTAAACATTCTAATCTGCCCGACTGGTAAGTCATCTCTTAAACAAACAGTCAAGAAACATGTTTTGCCAAATGCAAGACTGCTAAATTGTATTTGCTGAAGGAAGCCCACATTAGGTGTACCTGAGACGCCATACGCGAAGCTCATGTTTCTTTCTTAGATAAACAACCCCTTTCTCTTGGATCATTGAGATCCTGTTTAAAGAAGGAAAAGGACAAGGAATTCTACATGAGCTGATCAACATTTTTTCCTTTCCAGGTTCAATTAGTAAATATTTGAACAGGAGCACAATGGTGTTTCTAAATTCTTTCTTTAGCTATCTAGCTAAGAATCACCAAGAATGACTTAATGTTTATCTTTTTACTGCTTCAGCACCTGTCCTGGCCCACCTGGGTAATGTCCCCCTGAGAAAGTCAGTTTGTGCTCAGTAGGTTTACTGCCTTTTGGTTCGGGAATGAAAGCAAAAAGGAGACATGAAATGCGCTTAAAGTGATTGAATGTAACCTCTCTGCTTGTTTTTTATTTCTGTGCTTTGTCACCTGTGATAATAAACATTGCTTTTCTCATAAGGGAGAAAAAAATACATAATGGAGTGATAGATAAGCCACAGGATTAAAGGAAGGACACCACAATCTAACACTATCGATAGACTGTCACAGAAAGAAAAGGCACCGTCCTGTGTTTTTCATTGTTTTGCATAGTTCCTATTCTTTAGGGCTGTTTTTATGATTTTTTTTTTATTGATGCCATATTTCCTTTCTTTCCCTGATCAACACTGAAAAATGAAAGTGGAAAAAAAAGAACTTTTCAGGTTTTAAGAAAACTTGTCAAGAAGGAAAATGAGACCAAATTTCTGGTTACCTTCAGGGCAGATGCCTGGCACCTCCACTCTGAGTGGCTAGCATCCCGCCAGGAGCCTGGGCTAAGAAAGCTGTTTTGCACGTGGTCAAACGATGCCACACGCTGCCCCTTTAATCTGCCAGGCAGGGGAAGTGTCAGACTTCTGAACGGGCGCAGAGGAACACGAACGGAACAATACAAGGAAGGCGCACTTTCTGCTCCGTGGTTAGAGAAGGTTTAGCCGAATCGTGACAGTTAGGACCCCACATACACCACGGCGACCTAGAAAGACACCCTGTCACATTCCCTTACCAATCCTGCAGCCATTCTAAACCTCTGCCCCAGTGACAGTAAACACACTTAGTAAAAACTGACAAAACTTAGCAACATGGACTGTGTCTTGCTAGGACACCGAATGTATTTTTTTTTCCCGATAGAAAAAACAGGGAAAGGAAATAAACAAGTGTTTCACTCTGATGACCACTTTAAAGCTACAAACAGCTGCAACGTCTACTGTGCTTTAAAGCAGAAAATGTTTTGAAAAATAAAGCTAATGCCTATTAAACCAATGTAAACATTTCCTCATAATCTTACTTTTTTTTTTTTAATGATAGGAGAACAGGCTGGGAACTGCAACTGAGATCCTTTTCTTTAAAACTAATGACATTAAACCCTTTGAATAAGGTATGAGAACTAATGTTCATTAGCCGACACACAGGGAACAAGCCAGTTTTGCTCTGAAAAGCAAAACTGCTGTCAATGGGGAAAACTGATAGTGAACTCAGACCCCTCCCAGGGACTGACTGTGTGTGTGTGTGTGTGTTTTTAATGTGTGGCTGCAAAACACTCCTTAGTTGTATATCCAACCAACCTACCAAACATCCAAACAAACACACCAGAGCTTGGTTCATTAAAGAAAAGGGAAAACCACCCCTATCCATTCCTGCACTGCGTCTGTGTGTCTGCATCACGAACCATGCCTGCGTCCAGTGGTAGAAGCGAATTCTGTGCATTCAGATAGGCTGACTAACCCTTCCATTTAAGATTGCAAGAAAATTGTTACTATTATTAGTTCATTATATAGTAATACCATTATAGTAAGGAAGGAAGGGATGATTAAAGTTTCGCTGTGGTGGGGAAGTACAACACATGTAAGTTTGGAAAATGCAAGTATAACATGATGTTTACTATATATTATGTGCACTATGTGCTTACTGTATGTATTACATAAAATGTAAATGTTGACTATGTGTACATGTATATACACACACACGTATTTGTTTCCCATGGTCAGGTAGCCTCTGCTCATCAAGCGGGGCTGTCTGATGTCCTGGATTAACTCTGCAGGTGTCACACTGTGGAGAGATGACTATTTGCCTGCAGGGTCTCGAACTAGGAAATGGACTTCAGTATGCAACTTTCATGATATCTGACTTCCTGTTTGGACGCTGCATAATCCATATAGTCTCCATACTGTATTCTGAAAATTGGTTGATTTTAACCGAAATGGTTGTTTACAGTTTACAAATGGGTTGTTATCCAGAAGTTTATCTGTAAGCCAGTTCCTGTACTATACAGAACTTGAAAAGGATACTGACCTTATAAATGGTGATCAGAGGCTCAAGCTGGACCACAGTGCTTATTTTAATCCATAAAATGATTGAAATTTTGTATATTTGTAATTCAAAAAAACAGTTCCAATCAACCCTACCACCATACGGATAACTTAAACATAAAGCAAAAATATGGCGAGAGTAATATATGGACAATGTAAAATCTAAAAGTCAAGCCCTCGAAACAGTAGAAAATAGGAAGTAAGTCCTGCTCCTCCTTAAGCTCCAGTCCCTTTCTTCCAGATGAATACTTGAGATGTGTCCTAGATCTATACTGTGACAAATCTAATACCAAAACAAACGAATTTCCTTCTCAAAACATGTACAGGGGCATTAGACAGTGACCAGATTTTCTTCTTTTTTTTTGGTTTACAAGTGACATAGAAAGAGGTTCAAAGAATGATTTTATTTATTGGGAAAGAGCAAAATTTGGAAGACTGAGGTAAAGGAGAATATGGATTAAAGGGGTGTGTGTATGTATCAGAGGGAAAAGGAGAGACAGAGAGAGAGAACTACCAGTGATGGAATTTCTCTGCCTAGGGAAAAGGGGCAGTAAATGTAAGACGATTTTGACAGAAAAAAAGTGGTTTATACTGTTTCATATTCTGGGCACCAAATGATAGCAGGGCCTGGACGGCTTCGGGTTTCTGGGGTTGAGACCAAGAGGGCGCAGGCAGTGCACCATGAACATGGACAGACTGTTTCCAGATCAGGTGCTCACAGTTAGCAGAATATCTATATTAGCTACTGATAATGACAACTCAGCAAACTAGTCCCTCCCTCACAATGACTGTATACGTGTATATACTTATTATAATAATTGTAAGTGCACATACTTATAAGTGTATATAAAAAGTATTACATAACTTATATACATCTTCCTATAAAATATAATTTATATTTTTATAAAAAAACAAGTGACTCATATATATATACACTAAATACTGTGGATTGTGTAGTACTATAGTATTATCTGAAAAAAATCTGAGTGTATGTGGATACACACAGTTGAAGCCCATGTTGTTCAAGGGTCCACTGTGTGTGTGTGTGTGTGTGTATATACA